CATGTTCATTACAGCGTGCCAAGTCAATCCTCGTCTTCGGCGGTTATGACGGGCCAGGCAGGAGAACCTGCGAGGATGTAATACATTTTGGAATCGGCAACTTGCAGCAAATATCTACCAGATCTAAAACAGTCAAACTATCGTCAACAGACATATTCGATGAACCTGATGCAAATGAAGAAGAGGCCGAAGAGGAGGAGGAACAGTATGAACCGGTGGTGTGGAGCAGATCCAATTTGAGCAAACTGCCATTTCCGAGCGCTGGATTAACGAGTGCAATCACATCTGACAAGATATACGTCATGGGGGGTTGCAAGACGTCTCGGATCGTGCGAATCTACGACATCGGATCAGAGCGTTGGATGAACGGACCAGAGTTGCTGGATAATCGCATCTACAGTGGTTCGTGTTCTGTGGGCGATAATGTATATGTTTCTGGGGGCATAGTACGTAAGTGAATTTAATGTAACACCACCTGTGTTGTGCAACTGTCAATTGAGATGGTTGCTAGGTTGTCATATTTTATGCAGATACTCTTAAACAATTAGACAAATTATGTACAATTGTTTGAAAGAAGATTTCATTCTTCACTTGGTAACTATGTCTAGACTAAGAATTAGAATAGATCCGATGAAGTAATGGACAAACTGTAGAGCGCATAGTGTACCTTTTCATTTCACTTGAAAAGGTAACCAGATGTGAAGTCAAAAGATAATTTTACTAAAACAAGCTGGAGTTTAAAGTAGTCCTCTAATAATCCCTTAGTCAGACTAAGTATGTGTGTGTGTGAGTGAGTGTTCCGCTCGTTGTGCGTTGTGCAATGTCCGTATGCACTGCACAAGCGATAGCTGAGCCAAAACCTAGACTCTAGGGTAATCAAGTCTCCATTTACTTGTGCGCTCGTCTTACTCTCTCTCTCTCTCTCTAGCTAGAGATCTAGTTTGCTTGAGTTCCTAAGCTCTAGCTCTCTATTCAGGAATTCGGTTGTTTTGCTATTAATAACGCTTGGCTGGTCGGCTTTTCTTAATATATAGTCTGCACAAGAGGGAAATATATATGAGATGTATTCTCCCTATTTCGTTGGAGGTGATAAGGCGACTGCTAGTTGAATCACTCTTAGCGAAGACTTGAAACTGTTGATCATGGTTCTTTTATGAACTCGAAAAGTGTGTTTCTGTATATGTATATATGAGGAAGAGCTGGGCTCTACGAAGTCCTTTTTTGAGATAGTTTGACTCGACTTTTAATTTCGGAGAAAAACTTGGTTGGAAGGAACTCGTGAATTTGTCGGATCGGAAGTTGAGGTAGGATTGACTAGCATATAGTAAAGGCTTTTAGATAATGAGAAGAATTCTTTGATTAGGCATCCTCCTACTACCATTAACCCATGTTATTCTCTCGTCTGTTGTGTGACAGACATCGTCATATCATGTAAGCACACTTTACTAAAAGGCTCTCCAATATGCTAAGCCAAGAGAAAAATTATCTAGTTCTAAACGTAAGCTCTTCTCATGCCTTATTTTCTTGTCATTTTATCGCCTATACTGAAATATTAATTAAGTATAGTTATAATTAATTCTTATTGCACCTGATTTTGCGATCTTGAGTTACTGTAGGATACTCGAGTTCTTATGAGATTTATCCGAATGGTAGCCCCTAGCTCCGATTGAGTATGCTTCGGGGAATATGGCGGTCTCTATTGCTTTATCGAAGGAGCCTCTTTGCGCAAGCCCTACCTTTATGCCTTTTTCAATATTTCAAATGTATACTAACGTCTTACAAGAATACATAAATTGAAAAAATATTCGAGTAATAATGACTTGTTTTGCTTTCATGTTTTAGCCGAAAGCAGAGTCTCCGCAGAAATGTACGATCCAAGGCAGCATGCTTGGACGAAGCTGCCTCAATTAAATGCAACCCATGACAGAGCTTCTTCAATAAATATAAATGATAGGATCTTTACGGTTTCAGGAGGATATAGCTTACTTGAAGAATATGACATTGCTGCTGGAGCATGGATTCAAAGGATAGAGATTTTTATTAAGTAGGCAAATAAATCTAGCCATTTTATATTGCTTTAGACATGTCAGAATTTTTTCCTTAGTCTCGTACCATTACATCCTCCCGAAAAAATGATCTATGATACAGTGTTTATCTGTGGCATATTCAGATCAAATTATTGCAATTGAGTATGCGCAAATGATTTAGCGAACATGGCCCTTCAAGTGGTTGGACAGGTTTGCATACTCTTCGGCTAAGGCATTGGCATGTAGATAGTCTTCTGGGTTTAAGATTCCAGATTTATTTAACGCCACTTTCACCAGGTTCAAGTTTAGATGAAGAGGAATTCGAACCTGTGGCGGTACTATTTATTAACATACCAATTACTTATTTATGGTGAATCAACTACCATTTCCTGGCTATTCTGTAGATACTAATGAGTACGCAAAATAGGATTTCGAGACATCTCATATAATTATAGTAAGTAGCCCATATCGCTCAGATGCTGTACCACA